TGGTCTACACAGCAAGTTCTAGGCCAGCTGGGGCTACATAGTGAGACCCTGTCCAAAAAAAAAAAAAAAAAAAAAAAAGAACACAGGATGGAAAGGGCCCGAGGCAGAACACAACCCCAGGTCTCCTGAGACAATGGTCAAAATAAGAGACTCACCTATTACTACATGGGAAGAAGTTATGACAACCCACCAGCCCCATGGCTGCCTACCATGACTCAGTAATCTCAGAACCTGAAATACTACTCTACAGGGAGATGAAAAATGGATATTTTGTCTGGATCCTAAAAGCCTAAAAGTGAAAAGCAGTAAGAAGCAGTGAAGATTCTAGAAAATGGGGCTCCCTCAAAATGGGTGAGGGGCCTGACAATGTTAAACCTTGAGAAGAATCCACTGATTATGTTAATAGCCTGTCTTCACAAAACTGAGCTGAGGCAGGGTCTGTGTGCATGTTTGGTCATGGATGGGCACCAGAGTCCAGGAGGGTGTCTGGCCCTTCTGACAAGCATCCACTGAGTAAGTGAATGACTAATTCGAACATCTGGTCTCCCAGAAGTCCCATGAGCTACATGCTGAACATTTGCAAGGTAAAGAAGCAAGCCATGATCCCTACCCAGGATCACAAACTTGTGGGAGAAAGTCTTATAAAATTAGACATTACAGTAGAAACACAGTGAGTTCTATTGTCCCCAGGCTTGAACAGAGTCCTATGATAATTCAGAGGACCTGAACTGGCCACACCTGAGAAAGCTAAGGATTCAGCATGTAAGTGACCCTTGATCATCTTGAAGGACTTAGAAGTAGGGGCTGGAGAACTGGCAGTGAGGGAGGGCACTCCATACAGGGCGAAGAGCCAGGCAAGGGTTCTGAGTCCTCACAGGAAAGAACAAGGCTCTTAGAATGGAAGGATCCCTAGGGAACTACAGCGAGCTGAATGCCATGCTCAAAGGCTGGACTTTACTCTGCAGGCAGAAGGATAGCAACCATGCAGAGTGAGGGCAGGGAGGCAGGTGACATGATTAGCTTTTGTTCTAAGGAAGATCTTTCTAGCTGTAGTGTGGAGAATGCACTACAATGAAAAGAAGACAAGAGATCAGAAGGTCAACGATGCTATTACAAGAATCTGCATGAGCAGATGGTAGGCTGAACCAGGCAGTGGCCCAGCGTTGGTGAGGACTAGGACTTCCAGTGAACAAAGAAAAGCTCAGAGGTCAGGCACATCTGGTATCTAGGGTGATGCAGATGCCATGACAGTATCCTAAACCAGCCCCAGAAAGGAACTTTAAATATTGGCTACCAGAAAGACCAGCATTTAAATCTGTTCTACAATCAAAAACACAATGCAGGATAAACTAGACCAAAAGGGAGGGCTATGATCCCAGGTCAAGGCCACAAGCGTCAGCCCAGGTTCTGACAGCGTTAAAAGGTCAAAACAGGGATCCACAGGCAGACGAACAAGCATCTGCCAACACAGTAACTGTAAGAATGCAGTCTTCTTAGAGGAAGCAGCTCCCCAACACAGAACCTTGGTTTTCATTTGCCAGTAAGAGTTCCAGCTAATCAATCTATAGTGTATGCAAAGACAGACCACCCCAACTCCCGGTTGCCAAAGTACCCCACTGTCAAACTTCATTAAGACTGTCCACTTTTGGGGGCTGGAGAGATGAATGGCTCATCAGTTAAGAGCACTGGCTTTTCTTGCAGAAGACCCAAGTTCGAATGCCAGCACCACATGGCAGCTAATAACTGTCCATAACTCCAGTTCCAGGGGATCCGAAAGCCTTTTCTGATCTCCGGGGGCATTGCAGGACACAGGTGCACTTACCTACAATGCAGGCACTACATGTATACACATAAAAAAAAAATAATAAAACATTTAAAAGATTGTCCACTTTCAAATAGTGGTTAATGTAGAAATTCACAACTGGTCAAAACACAGAGTATAGATGGAGTGCTCAGCCACAAACGGGACATCACACACACACACACACACACACACACACACACACACACACACACACACACACAATTCAGGAACCATCTTGGAACAGGGGGCGGACCCTCGGAGGACTTGTTCAAACACTGTCTTCTGGACATGATGGGACTGCTACATTCATGAACTCACGGCAGCTGTGGTTACCTGCCTAAGACCTGCACAAGACAAAGCCAGTCAACATTCTAGTATGTTTGGAAAGGCTCCTGAGCACTCACCCCTAACTGAACAGCTACCAACAGTTAATGGCTTCTGGGAGGAGAGTCTGTTTTCTTTAAGGGTGTGGCATCCTGCTGGTAGACCTTGCTCCAGTGGATGGCCCCCACCCATGAGTATATGGACAGCACAAACTGGACTAGATAGGTTATTTAAATTTAAAAAAAACAAGAAGACAAGGAGTTGGGGGGATAAGGAAGAGCTAGGCAGAAGAATAGGGGCAAATATGATCAAAGTATATTGTATGAAGTTCTCAAAGAATTAATAAATTACACACACACACACACACACACACACATTTAAAAGCTGCCAACTTTCTTTTTGGGAAAACATTGGATTTTCACAGTAACTTTCCCATGAGACCCCTACTCTTTTTTAAAATTATTTATTTAATAACCACATAATTAGAAGAAGCATTTCATTACAACAGCATTGACATATTCAGTAACAATTTCCAGAGCAAAGATGCATCTCTTTCAAAATAAGCTGTAAATTTTTAGGCTTACAGTTGAATTAATACAGTTATACAATATTGTACTCAGTATAAACCCTGTAAGACATAAAATTCAATGAGGTTTTAACCTTTAAAAAAGATCTCGATTTCATTATTAAAAGATACTGTTTCATACAGAAAAACTCATTTTTTTAATATTTTTTGGTCTTTTTAAGACAGGGTCTCCCTGTAGCTTCAGCTGCCTGGAACTCGCTCTGTAGACCAGGCTGGCCTCAAACTCACAGAGATCCGCCTGCCTCTGCCTCCCAAGTGCTGGGATTAAAGGCATGTGCCACCACGCCTGGCAGGAAAAACTTCATTTTTAATGCAACGAACACTTAGATGTTTGCACATGTGTCTCTAATCTCTACATATCTGATTATTACTAGTCAGTTGGTTACCTTCTGAGATCCTGGGCACCTGAGCATGGATATAAAGTCCAAAGGTAATTTTTTCACATCTACTAATTAACATGAAGCAAATTTTTATGCTTCTTCCTCAAATATAACTCATATTTTCCCTTTAACAGTCATACTTCATGCCTTCGGTTCCCTGAGGCAAGTTCCAGCCTTGTACAGAAATTCAGTCCAAACTCTGATTCATTTTTTTGCCTAATTGGTGGCCTGAGTTCCAATACCTTCACCAGAGCCTCCTGCTTCGAGACACATGTAAGAATATGTATATGTGCAACCTTTATTTTACTTTGTCACTCAGCTTAGCAGGGCATCTAAGTAACAAGATACAAGAGAAGAAAAACCTGCTATGAACAGCATGTGATGAACACCTCAAATGACTCCAAGTCCCTTCATCGTGTGAACTGTGTCCTGTATTACAACGTGGCCTGGAGGTTATGAGGGCAGCTGGTTTCAATTGCACAACACCTAGCCGGACTATTGCTCTTCCCTTTCTCACTGGTCCATCCAGGTTTATCTTCTTCGAACAACACTTTCATTGGGTAACTCCTTTGCATAAACTTCAGTGAGCCTTCCTGCCCTGGCTAGCCACATCAGCCTGCTTTCATCTACTCAAAGTGTCCCCAGCTCTGTTCAGGGAGGTCTCTTTGTTCTGTCCCTGGGTCAGTCCCCCATACTCTTGACTCTTTTTTCCTATCTTCTATACTTTTGTGGTTTTCAAACCTGGATGTGCTTTGGAATCACCTGGGGCACTGTTAAAAAATGGGGTGGGCAGGGGGTGAGTAGGGGTGATGCAGAGAGGGACAGGGTTATGTCCTCCAAGATTCTGATTGAACGGGTTTGATATGAGGTTCATGGGGTCCGATTTATAAAGTCTTAGGTGACACTAATGTACATACATCGTTGAAAGCCTGTGTCTTGGCTGGGTACCCAAATTCAAGGCTCAGCTCAAGTCCCACCTGTAGCCATCAAGGGTCTCCCTCTCCTTCCAGTTCCTACCACAACCCATCTCACGGTGTCTGTTCCTAGACACGCTCTTCTTGCACGTCTCTACTTACAACACAGGCAGTTGAATGAGAGCTGCTGAGAGGAAGGCTAGGAGAACTACAGAACAGTGGAAAGGACAGGGAGGACATTCTGGATCTTGAATGCTAAGGGGGCTCATGGACACCTTTTGGTTAAAGCTATGGAAACTTCTCCCCAGAAATAAATATGAAATTCTGCACATTATTTCAGAGAAGTCTCCTTAAATAATCCCCCATGCAAGTACTCGATATGAGACAATGAGTCACAAATTTGTTTTCCTCTAACACAGGTACCAAGTGGGCAAATGGCTTACCCATGGCCAAAAGCAGTGGCAGAGATGCAGCTAGACCCCCAGTCTCTTGGGATTCTATTAAACTCCCTTCGTTTGGCATCTCTAGTCACTGCTTCAAACCTAGCAGCTGAAATCTGATGATCTACTGGACAAAACTGAAGTAAAGCTGTGCTTTGTATATGACCATATTATTTGCACAGGTTCCTAAACTCACTAATTAAAAATGGATTACTAGGGGCTGGAGAGATGGCTCAATGGTTAAGAGCACTGACTGCTCTTGCAGAGGACCCAGGTTCGATTCCCAGCACCCACATGGCGGCTACAAACCGTCCTTAACTCCAGTTCCAGGGGAATCCAAAGCCCTCTTCTGACCTCCATGCCATTGCATGACACGGGTGCGCTCACATACATGCAAGCAATGCACTCATACACATAAAATAAAAATAATAAAATATTAAAAAAAAGTATTACTGACCATTCTCAAGACATAATATTTAGTACTTTAAAACAAACTGAATTTTACCTTTAAAAGTTTCTAAAAAGAAAATATAGCCTCACCCCCAAACTCACCCGATTCTCCTTGAGAGCTGGGCTGTCATCCCCAAGGGCGAGGCGAGAAGCAGAGCTCCGGAACTCCGCCAGGCCCAGGATGGGCAGGTACTCATGGTTGAGGCTGTTGTCATTAGCAATCTTCTGCTCCACCTTCCTGACTACTGGCAAAACCCAGGGTTGGCAATCATCTGTGCGATACGCTGAGCATGGAAAAGACACAAGCGTCTTAGGCATCATCCAAGTCAGAATCTGGAACTGTGAACAAGAAAAACGCCACCACCTTCTGGCTAAAGCAGACAGAGATGGAACCAAGTAAAGTGCATTCACTTGCTGGGCCAAGTCCTGGGCAAGGTATTAGGTGCACAGAAGAACCCTGGTTTCTCTCCTTACAGATTTAAGAGCTGTCTAGCTCTTAAATATGAGATCTCCAAAACTGAGATGCTAAAATAAAAGTGACCTCACAGACACTGGTCAAGTGAGAGAGAAGGGAAAGCACCCTGTGAACCAAAATCACCTTACGAATGTTACACTGATACAGCTGGAGCACTCGTCTATAACCAATGGCCCAGCAATCTTCCATCTACACGCCTTCAAGAGAGCTCCAGAAAGGACTACATCAGATATGTTCAACCTGTGGCCTGGAGGCTGTGTGTGTCCCAGGATAATTATGAACATAACCCAACAGGCCTGTAGATAACAATGTCATATTGCAATGTCAAAAGATCGGGAACAGCTGGCTAGGTGCAAATCACAAAGCTCTGCACCTTCCAAAATAAACATGGAGAAAGAGAAAAAGAACAAAGGAAGTCTGCTTCGTCTACTTGTCCTAAAAATGCATAAACATGTTTAAAAGTAAGCAAATGCCCTGTGCCTGGAGTTCAGCAACTGGTTACACAGTGACCAAGGACCCACTTACACACCTCTGTCCCCGCTCTGTGTTTTGACATTGGCCAGTGTTTACCATTTTCATTGTTCATACACTCCGTCTGCCTCACATTGCCTTGTATTGATCTAATTTCATCGCTTTCACAACATTTAATCTTGCTTTGAGGCATTTCTTCTACACTTTGGTATACTTTAGTATGTTTTTAGGCCACTGACTTTTCCTATCACTCATCTTCCCCTGCACGGCCTACAGTTATGCTAGAATTACAGCTTTAGCAGGCAGCTGCTTTAACCTAGTACCCACACCAATAACCTTGGAATTCTGAGTAGGATTCTTGACTGGTCATTTCCCTCTCTGCTCCAATGTGTAGATCTCCAACAGTCCTACACCTGTGCAGGTGATTCTGAAACAAAACTTTAGAGTAATTCTGACTAAACTTTATCTTGTTAATTTCTGCCCAACATTAGTCCCTGAATTTAAGGTGATGGTTATTGCTTGCTGAGCCACACACATTGTTAAAAATGTAGAAAAGCCCAGAGCACAAACTATAAGCATTACAATGAACACATAACCCCAGCAGTCTGAGACAGGGACATGAAAATCTGAAGGTACAACCTTCTATTCTGCTGCACACGGCATATTCTTTTTTTGGGGGGGGGGTCTTTGTTTTGGTTTGGTTCTGGTTTTGATTTCTTGAGACAGGGTTTCCCTGTAGCTTCTGCTGGCCTGGAACTCGCTATGTAGACCACACTGGCCTCCACCTCATAGATATCCACCTGCCTTTGCCTCTCAAGTGCTGGGATTAAAGGCACCACCACACCTAGCCCTATGATATATGGATTTATAATATATGGATCATACTCTACATAGGGTTTTCAACCTGCTTTTTTCCCTTAAATACATTTTATGAACATCTTTCATCATCATTAACTATTCTGATAGGTGATATACCTGGATGTCCCCATTCTGACCTACCTAGTTCCCAATCTCTCCTTCTACACACAACTGTTGTTAGCTTCTTATGTATCCTTCCAGAGTTTCCCTATGATATACAAGCAAAGATAGCTCCTTACATTTGGGAGCATATAGCATATTATACACTGCTTTGTTGTCTTTCCCATTGTGACTGTTTTTTATCATATTTATACACAGAAAAGTAGCTTTGTTCTTTTTCACAGCTGCTTAACTAATGAATAAATCATATTTTACTTTGCCAGTCTTGTGTTGGGCTTCCGAGTTGTTTACAATCTTTGGATACTAAAACAATACTTCAGTGAAACACCTAATACATATGACATCCCACACGTCCACAAATATATTTGTAAGATGCAGAGTTGAAATGGAAGTATTGTCAAAGAAGTATGTGTATTTGTAGTCTGGACAGACACTTCCAAATTGTTCTCCACGGCTCTCCGTGAGAAAACTCAATTTCTATTCCTACCAACACCTTGAAGAGGGCCTGCTTCCCCACAGCCTCACCAAGTAATTTCCAAAACGAATGTGCACATGATGTCTCAAGGCAGTTTTAATTTTTGTTTCTCTTATAATGAATGCAAGTGGACTATTTTTCATATATCTGAGTCATTCACAGCATCACTGTAGGAGTGAGATACTATTCCTCCCTATGTATTCATTATCAACCATGCTTTCAGGTATCTGCTGTTGGAAACATTATGTCGAATACTCACAATCCTAAGCATGAGTGTTTTCACTGGAAATACTTCTAAGTATAAAATTACTAAGTCAAAAGTTATACAACAGGGAGCTGGAGAGATGGCTCAGCAGTTAAAGAGCACTGGCTGCTCTGGCAGAGGACCTAGATTCAATTCCCAGCACCCACATGGCAGCTAACAACTGTCTGTAACTCGAATTCCAGGGGATCTGACGCTGTCTTCTGACCTCCTCAGGCACTGCATGACATGGGTGCACTCACATACATGCAGGCAATACAAGCACCATGCCTGATGGCTTAACTATCTATTTTAAAATATTTTAATATTTTCTTTGTTATTTTTATGGGTATGCGTGTATTGCATGCATGTATGTGAGTGCACCTGTGCCATCCAATGCCGCGGAGGTCAGAAGAGGGCATTAGATTCCCCTGAACTAGAGTTAAGGACGGTTCATAGCCACCATGTGGGTGCTGGGAATCGAACCCAGGCCATCTCTGTAGCCCCCCAAAATAAGATATTTTTTATAAAGTTATACAACTGAATTGTGTGTTTATCTTCTGTTATGTCAGCTAACTCTATTCTCCAGAAATGTGACATCTACAAATCTGAGAAACATTATCAGTGAATAATAAAAATGTGGGTTGGGCTCCAGACCAACACAGTCACTCACCCACCAACAGTCTCTGAGTTGGTGGCTCTAACAATGCTGCCATATCTCTCTCATTTTACACCCTGGCCCACCAAACTAACTCCTTCTTCACAAATTTTTAAAGTCTGGGGCTCAGCAGTTAAGAGCACTGACTACTCTCACAGAGGACCAGGGTTCAATTCCCAGCACCCACAAGGTGGCTAACAGCCGTCCATAATTCCAGTTCCAGGGGATCCAACGCCCGCTTCTAACCTCCAAGGGCATTGCACTTCATGGGTGCACTGACACACATGCAGGCAATACACTCATACACATAAAAAAAATTAAAAATTAAAAAGCATATATATGCTT